CAGCCAACAGTCGCTCCCGTTAGCGCCGCCGCCAGCCCCGTCGTCCTCGTGCTGCACGACTTCCACCTGCTGGCCCACCGCCCCGACGCCCAGCCGGCGCTGTACGCCCTGCTCAACCTGCTGCAGGACTTCGCCCTGCCGGCTGCGTGCGTCGCCCTGTCGACCCAGTTCGACGTCGACGACGCGCTGGAGAAGCGCGTCCGCAGCCGCTTCGCCCCCACCCACATCGTCCTCCCGCTGCCCGCGCGTCCGCGCGACGTGCTGCAATTCCTCGCCTCCGTCGCGCCCGCGCCGCAGCCGGATCACTCGCCGCCGCCGGATCACTCGCCGTCGCCGGAGCACCCCGACGACCAGGCGTACGCGCGCGCCGTGCGCGAGGTCGACGAAGCCGCCCATGCGCTCGCCGCGCACCCGCGGCTGGAGACACTCGTCGCGCGCCACCTGCGCCGCTCCCGCGTCGCCGCGCCCGTCGTCTTCGCGTTCCACCACGCGCTGGTCACCGCATTTGACCGCGAGCTCTCCGCTGCCGACGACGACTCGCATAACGCGGGGAAGCAGGCAGAAGTCGACGTCGCCGCGCGCGTGGAGGCCGCGCTGGACGCCGTGGAGAGGCGTCTGTTCCCGCGCGACGCGCTCGCGGACGCGATGGAAAGCCTGTCCGTGGTGGAGCTGGGGCTGCTGGCCGCGCTGGCGAAGGCGGAGGCGCTGGGGGGGCGCGTGACCGTGGGAGCCGTGCTGGAGGTGTACGCGACGCTGGGCGGCGGCGAGGAGGGCCTGCTGGCAGGGGATGATGGTGAGGCCGTCGGCAGCGCGGACGTCGCGAACAAGTGCTGGGAGAGATTGGTTGAGGGCGGCTTGGTGGCCAGAGAGGGCGGCGGGCCGAGGCATATGAGGGCCGTCGGGCTCAACGTTGAGAAGGGCGAGGTGGATCACGCCGTGAAAGCGCATAAGCTTGCCAGCACTAGGCTCAAGAGATGGGCACGGGGGGAGGCCAGGAGATGAGCGCGCGTATTGCGGTTTCGTTTTCACACTTGTTGGGGAGCCTGGAGTGACAATTGGATCGCTGAGATTGGTCTGGTGCAATGCGCCTCGAGGAGGGCTGTTGAAGAGACATGAGGGGTGGTTACGATGTACGTGGTTACGATACACGTTCGGTGGGCAGGGTGCACGAGCTGGTGCACAGATGTAGAGTTGGCCAGTACAAACCCCCTGAGAAATGAAGCAGAGAGCCAGGGGAGAGGCCAGGAGATGAGGGCAGTTTTGGAAGGGCAGTTTTGAAAGGGCAGTTTTGAAAGGGCAGTTTTGAAAGGGCTTGTGCTCTATAATGACACAATTTGTACAGCCGCGGCAGGTGTTGGGTGAAAGGGCATCCGCTAAAGGTCATTCGCAGAGGGTGCTCGTTGCCGGGGATCGTGTTTGGGGAAATAGGGGAAATTCCGTGCCGGTGGCTCAAGTCGGACGCACCGCCAGCCTCGTTGGCAATTTGCAACATGACCGTGCAGCAGTGTTCCGCACATAGAATTCGATGCCCCGGTTGGATAATAGCGGGCATGTCCCGGTGCTGCTGAAAGGATGGGGAGACGCGGGCAGGGCAGGCGCAAGTCGTGGAATTGCACGCCAGCAATGCCGTGCGGAACGCGTCGTCACGCGACAGTGGTGCACCAAACGCGGTGTGCGGCAGGGGCTCTCGGCGAACGTCTGGCGGAGGGCCGCCGTGCCAGCGGGAATAAACGTCGTGGGACCATGGCAAGCTTGCTCCAGCCCCAGGCTTGAGGCGTGGTGCAGACATACCCACGGTCGACTTGCCAGATGCCAACGAGTACCCTTGGTACTGCTCCCATCTCACCCACTTGTGCCAGTGATTGCTATTCACTATTCACTATTCCGATTGGCCCTGTAGAATGCACAGCACCACATCACTGTACATCGATGCGGTGTGCCGTCCCATCGCGCTGTACCTTCTCTTGGAAACATGACGTGTAGCGTGATTCGCCCGCTGAAAGATGGTGCCCCTCATGCCGGGGCCGCCCTGTCTCGCCCCGGAAGTCAATCATCCATTTTTTCGGCGGTTATCAATCTGCCCGTCAACCCCCCAATTTCACCCCCCTCCCCCCTCCCCCCACCCCATCCCCACCCTCACCGCCGCGCTGACCCCAAGCTCCCTCACCGCTATGGAAGTAACGCTCCCGCCGCTGTACGGCTTGGCCGTGCTGGAAGTCGTCCTCTACGCAATGCTGTTGGGGTGGATGGGCTCGAGGGTGATGCACGCGCGCAAAAAGTACGGTGTGCCGCTACCCGCGGCCTACGAAAACAAGCCGGACTCGGTGTTCAACCGCTACCAGCGCGCCCACCAGAACTCGATCGAGGGCGCCGCCACCTTCTACATCACCCTCCTCGTGTCGGCCATCGCCACCCCCGTCTTGTCGGCCGTGGCAGGCCTCGCCTTCATCGTCGGCAGGTACTTGTACTGCACCGGGTACTACAACAGCCTGGACGGGAGGAAGAGGGGATTTATGTGGGGTAAGTACAGCACCGTGGTTTCTGTGGTTGTTGCCCGGGTCGGAGGAAGGGTATGGTGCACTGTATGAGTGTTACTGACAGCTGCGTGTTTTTTTCTTGTTCCTATCTCGACGCGCTTGCGCAGTTATTGGCCAGATGTATCTGTTCGCTGGCTGCGTCTTTCTAGCCGTTTCGCTGCTACGTTCATAAGCCAGTCTTCTACACCTACATGTGCGAGTATTCGCACAGCTAGTCTCCACCCGGGCCGTTCCATTGCCCGCGTGCGAAAGCACGAAATGGGATCTGTCCCGGCGCGTCATTCGGCCTTCTGTTTCTTTTCGAAGCAGCCATAAACGATCTCATGGAAATGCGTGTCCTTGACCTTCATCTTGGCCACGAACACCTCCTGCAATCCGACCTCCTCCCTCACCTCTGCTATCAATGCCTCACAATCAAAGTCCTTTTCACTAATCCCATCCCACAGGAACGACAGCCACTCCAAGAAGAACGGCTGCTTAACTTGCTGTCCACCGTGCGCGTTCCTCCCCTGCTCCCCTCCGCCATGCCCTTTCCCGTGCGCGTGCACGCCATGGTCGAGGAGCAGAAACTTGCCACCGGGGCGGAGCACCCTGACCATCTCCTTGAGCGCGGCGGCGCGCCCATGCACGTGGCTGAGCGCGAGGAAGATGCCGACTGCGTCGAACGCGGCGTCGTCGAACGCCAGGCGCGGCAGCGCGGCGTCCGACACCTCGACCTGCCCGCGCGCGACGCCGGACGCGCGCCCGCCCAGCTTGGCGCGCAGCCGGTCGCGCATGCCGCGGTCCGGCTCCGACAGCACCAGGCGCCCGAAGCGCCCCGCCGCGCCCTCGTACGCGCCGGACGCCAGCGTCGTGCCCGTGCCCGCGCCCACCTCCAGCACCGCCGCGCCGTGCGGGACCGCGCCCAGCAGCTCCCGCCGCTTCGCCGACACCTCCGCGGGCTCGGCGTGCCTGTCGAAGAACCACGCGAACAGCGGCGAGAGGATCGCCTCGAGCAGAGACATGAGCATCGTGTAGAGAGTCATGGCGAGGCGCGAGGGTGGGGTGAGGAAGGACGGTGCGAGGCGGAGGGGGAGAAAGGACGGTTTTATTGGGATATGGCGGAAACGTGTTAGAGACGCGGTGGGTAGAAGCAAGCAGGTTGGCAACGAGGTGAGGCGAGCTTGTGCAACCTCATTGGTTGTTATGGCGCTTGATGCGATATGCATGTGGCCACCGGGGAGGTAACTTACCTTTGAGGGCCATTCCATTCATCGTGATTGGCAATCATGCAATCACGCGATCACGACATTAATTTAACGTCTTTCTGCAAGTTGGAGCACAAGATTAATTTTAAGTCGATTGTTTATTTCTTTAATGAGCATGACCATTTTTTAGGAAACGTAATATAAACAACCAACCACAAGGGAGTGGCCACCATTTATTGACGTGATTGCCTGATTGCCTGATTGCCAATCACGATGAATGGAATGGCCCTGAGCAAGGCAACCAGTGCGCTAATTTATAGCGTTTTTAGCCATGCAGTGCTCTAAAGAGTGCGCAACACAACCAGTGCGTCGCCAGATGTGACGCCCCGCAAGGGGCCGAGTATTAGTTTTTCCCAAGTCTTTCGCCAAGACATGGGTCTGAAGCACGGCGCATATAGCACTCGAAAGATGATTGGTTATAGTGATTATGAAATATCGATGAATTCTGAGTGGTCGCGTGCTATATTTATCCATTTCTATCCTGCGCCAGGAAAGAAACGTACAGTGATACTGTAGGTGCTTCCAGATACTGTAGCAACCGAAAAAAGCGATTATCGCACCAGTTGACATGCCAACAGGGAAAAATCTCTAAATTTTCGAAATTTAGCGCACTGCTTGCCTTGTTCTAAGGGTGACCCCACCGCCAACAAAATTTCTGTCCTAAAATTCCAACCACTAAAGTTTGGACCGATGGACTAAAGTTCGGACCGATGGATGAGATTTTGAACCCCACCGCGCCACCATTTGTCCTAAAGTTTAGAATTTGGGAAGGATTCTTTTCCAAACCAAAATTATTTGGTCGAGATTTTTGTCCAAAGCGCCGTTTGGGCGAGCTTCGTTCTATAGTAACGGTACAGAAAACATCTGAATTTCATGTGCTTACAGCTCTACCAAAGCTCTTCCAAATGGCTTTGGGGCTGTTTTGACTGAAGTCCCATCAATAGTGTGGGACGCAAAAAGGAGTGTTGTGCAGCCTTCGCTCGTGGACATTTCCTATCTTCTCCCTCCTTCTCGTCTTCTGAGAAGTGCAGGCAATAGAGCATGTGCGCAAACGTAAAATTTTACGTTTTTGGAATTACAATAGTTGGCCGCTCTCACGAAATGTAAAATTTCACGTTTGAGAAACGTCACAAAATGAAACTGTTTTACGTTCCGTTCATTTTGCGACGTTTTTTCACACTTGGACTTGTCAAATTTCCACGTTTGAGAGCGTGGACGACCTGCAACACCATCGATCCCCGGGCTCCACCGCGGACATGGCCCATAAAAGGCGTCGCAGCGCTGCCGCAGCGCCCAAGAGCGGCCTCGCCCGCCGCACGCGCAACCAAGCCCGCACTGAGGGTTGCACCCCTGCTGTCCTGGCTAAACTCCGTGTGCGAGCGCGAGAACCCGCGACATCGAACCGTCCTTCTCCACCCCCCGGCAGCCGCACCGACCGCACGTGCCGAGGCCCACGACATTGCGCCTCGCACACTGACTAGGCCTGGCGCTGCCGCCGGGCCCCGCTTGCGTGCGGATGTCCCGGCAGAGGTACTCACGCCGGGGAAGAGACAGACCACTTTCAGCGGGTGTGTTCTTGGAACAGAGTGTCGTACTGCGGGTGCAAGCCTGCACCGCACTTCGCACTACTGCGGCTGGTGCCGCTCACCAATGCACGGGCAGTGCAGCCAGCTATTCGCTGCCTCACAGACTGTTGAGGCGCTCAGCGGGTTTTTTGTGTGCACTGTCGACTGCGTGCGGCAGCGGATTGCAGAGCTGTCGGACAGCTTGATTATAGATGAGAGGGAGAAGGCCGCTGGCCTTACCGAGGGCGTTAAGATATACTTTCAGCAAGAGGCCGAGCGCCTGCTTAGGCCCACGAAAGAGACGCTCCACTTCAAGCCATGGTCTGCTTGGGCCGCGGGGGACGGTGGCTTGGACACCGATGATGATGACGACGACAACGACGGCGACGATGACGGCGACGATGACAGTGACGATGAAGACGACGATGACGACGACGACGACGACAACATCAACATCAACAGCAACAAAACAGATAAGGGTGAGGAGAGTGGCAGCGCGGCTGATGGTGTGGGCGCAGTGGCGCGAAGACGAAAGAGGCCGACATGGCAATCTGCAAGCGGCGCGGTCTCGATCCGCAAGGTGCCGGGGCTGGAGCTGTACATCTCCGAGGTGTGCGTTGAGGAAGAGGTTGGGCGAGCAGCACATGGGGCCAAAGGCCCCACCTGGGGCAATGTTCTCGCCCGTGTTCAGAGCAGGTTCTTGCACGTCTCTCTCAGCATTGCGAAGCTGAAGGGCGCGTATAAGAAACTCAAGACCGACCGGTACTCTGAGCTCAAGAGAAAGTACGTCACGCCAACTGGAGCAGGGGGAATGCCTGATGCAAGCGACAGACTGTTGAGGACCATTCAGACCCTTATCGACATTGAGGCCGAGGCCCTCAATAGGACCTCGGAGAAAAAGGAAGAGCGAACCCGCAAGGCGGAGGCAACAAGGCGAACAATGCTTGCGGCAGTGAGAACTTCTCGAGGGCTCTTCCCCGAAAGCAGGGAGGTGACTGGGGATGAGGGTGACACGGCCAACGACCGGGGCAGCGATCCCAACCCTGACTGCGGCGTGCCAGAGGCGCTTGCAGGGCAGGATGGCGATGGCGATGCCATTACGCTGGCGCCGTCGACCCACAAGCGTCCCCGCGGCTGCGCTGGCGGCCCCAGGCCAAAGAAGCGGAGGGCGACGGCGTCGGACTCGAGAGAGCTGCTTCTGAAAGAGATGTCGAGCATGCAGGGGGCGGCTAGGGGCCTGTACGACCGTCGTGACGCCGATGCAGACAGGAGTGAGAGCGTCATGTCAAGGGTAGCTAGAGCAGCGGAGGCCACCGCAGTCGCCAGCAGCGCAGGCGACGGCAGGGTGATCTACATGCAGCAGACCTTCGCGTCTGGGGTTAATAATGGAGGCTCTGGTTCTGACGCGCGCCTGGCCACGCTATAAAGTGCAGTCACGGGGCTGGGGAGCAAGGTTGAGGGCATGGCGTCCTCCATAGAGCAAATTCTTAGCCATCTCACCAAAAAGTGACACGCCTGCGGCTGCGATTAATGTAGTCGCCCGCATGCGCCATCTACTAGTCGTCACTCATAAACAAGGCAGCTTTCACATGTTGCAAGACAGCGCACTGCAAGGTCAAAGGCCTCCATCTCCTCCAGGTCGTGCTGCCTCGCACTTGGCGACGTACTCAACAGACTCTTCGTACAATTGTATCATTATGCCCCCGGCAAGGCATGCCCCTTCTGCATCCTTGTACTCGTCCGGCCGCAGCTCATGCAAGTCGTCGCATAAATGCTCTTCGATGTGAGGCGGCTCGCAGGTGAAGTACTGCGATGTTTGCGTCGGCTCGAGGCACGCTATGGCGTTCTATAATACTACAATTGACAACACGTGCATGGCAACTGGCCGCTGCCCGACAACGAAGTTCTGGTTGTACTTGAGCCACGGAAACTTGGCCTCAACACCCCCACACCCCCATTCGGCAGTGATACGGAGGCAATTCATCAGCGCATTGAAGGCCCGCTCCTCAAGCGACGTAGGATTGCAATGCCCGCGGCAACAAACAGCGCTGCGAGCGTACGCTGCGTCATTATACACGTTGTGATCCGGGAGAAACGCCGTCATGCATTCTATGAGCGTTGACTGGGTGACAATGCTTCTGTCGGCATGGCACCCGCCAAACGGCCCTTGATAGTCGAGAATGAGCCCATCAGGGCAATTTACAGCCTGATACGCGAGATTGTGCCCGTATTTTGCGTTGTAAAGCGCGTTCTGCATTGAATTCTCACCCGGGCGAGCTGTGCGCAGCCTCGACCCGTCCAAAAAGCCGACGCAGCTGTCAAAAGGGCAGCCAAATTCCCGAACGGCCCTCACTATTCTCTTTAGGCGGGTTGAGCCAAGGACGCGCTGCGGGATGCGCACGCTAGCCCACCACTTCGACACGATGATGCAGCTCATCGCTTTCACGATGCGGGACACTGCCGTGCGATCCCGGCCGCAATACAACGCGACCGTGGAGTCACGGCAGTTTTCGCCGAAGTATCTTAGATATATCAACAGCGCTTCTATAATGCATACCGTCAATCGGTTTACGCAGTATAGCAACTCCGGTAGGCGGAGGGCGTCATGCAGTCGCTTGAAATTAATTCGGTCAATTCGGAAGCTCGCCTTGAACTCGTGGGCGGTCATTTTGGAGCTGAGGGCATACGTATGCAGCCACGGCCGCCTGTGCGCCCCACCAAACACGCTACTTCCCCCTTGGAGCCGCAGCACCGCCGTGCATCTCGAGTATAGAGCGAGCATGACTATGGCCAGCTCCGATTCCTCCTTCGCCAGGCTCTCCTGGCTTTCAACAGCGGCCGCAGCGACTGCATCCAAGGCCAAATCCTGCACGCGCCTCCTATGCTGGGCCCTACGCCTCAACCACACCGCAGTAATGATGACTAGCGTCACAAAGATAACAAGATACGAAGTTAGTGCCACAAGGCCCCATCGTCGACACACGCCGCGCTTTCGCAAACGCACCGACGCCTAAAATCCTCCGCTGCTGATGCTCGGGAAGCGCCATATCAACCGCTGAAGGTGGCGGACCGCGGAGCCACAGCACTAGTAGGGGGACACACTCGTCACGCAGGCAGTGTTCGTCGTTGATAACGTTAGACGGCAGAGGCCGAGAAGTTGCAGTTCCTGGGTGAAGGCCAGGGGAACGTAAGAAGACGTAGATTTTCACGTTTTTGCAGCTTGCGCACAAGCTCCGCAAATTTTTACGTTTTCTTCTGTAAGTTTTTTTGCCGTCAGGAGGAAACGCAAAAATTTTACGTTTCTTGCGCACATGCTCTAATGGCTGAGGTGGTTACTAGGACTGATGACTCGGCAGTAAGAGTGAGGAAAAGGTGTAAGGGACTGGGGTGGTCAGACGAGGAGAATCTTGCCCTGTGCGTTGCTGAGAGCGCAGCGTCTGAGAACGCCGCGAATTGAAAGCGTGGTGTACTTGCCGAGTTGATAATTCCCAAACAGGAGCCTACATATTATGGAGAGCGGGCAAGTGACGAGCAAAAGTTGGCGCCAATTGTGGAACAGACGCGTGCAGTAGCTTGCGTCTTTGCGCCAAATGTATTTCTACGACATACCTCTAGCCTAATTGGGGTG